AAAATGTAACAATATTTTATCTATTCGGTTTTTTTTTCAAGAGTACAACAGAGCAAGACTTTGTTTTGGTGCTGTTGTTTTCCCTTCTATGGTTTAGGAAATGTTGCAACAATATTTGCAAACAAAGGGGTTTGCTGCAAAACATCTCTTTAATTTGGGAGTGGGTATTAGGCAAATGTTACAGCAGAAAGTCAACAATAAATACAACAATAAACTTTTATGAAATTGAAGAAGGAAAACAATTCCCACGTGACCATTTCTTACATATCGTAGTCTTCAGACACTCAAGGTTAACTCATTTTAATTTCTCCTTGTCTTGAATACCGCAAATATACTCTCTCTCTCTCTCTCTCTCTCTCTCTCTCTCTCTCTCTCTCTCTCTCTCTCTCTCTCTCTCTCTCTCTCTCTCTCTCTCTCTCTCTCTCTCTCTCTCTCTCTCTCTCTCTCTCTCTCTCAACACTCATCTCCAGACTGCTAGAGTACCGTCCCTAATTCAGTCACTCAGTAAAATAACAAGTGTGCTTGTTTGTGTGTGCGTGTGTGTTTCATCAATCCTTTTGTTTTATGTTTTTCTTTTCACATGGAATTTTCAATGTGTTATTTTCCGAAAGTGCTGTCAAGAGCAATGCATGCTTGATTGATTGATCACAGTGGAAAGTTCAGTACTGAGAAACAAATGTAGAGAAAATATAGTGAAATTAATTGTGTACTATGGCCTTTCAGTAAAAACTTTTAACTGATATAAAAATTTTATTATTAATGACATACACATGAAGTTTTAATAGGTTATGTATAGTGACTTTATAAATATAAAAATGAAATAAAAATAAAAAAAATAATTTTAATTTTAAAAATTTAAATGAAATTTAAAAAACAATTAAAAAATAAAAATTTTCCACCAAGTATACACATATATAATATTTATTTGGAATGATATGAAAATATATCAGCATATATATACTCCTACACCATATACAAGCTCAAATGATGGATATTTGTCAAATTTGATCAGAGAAAATATCTTTATTAGTCAAAATGAGACCCACATTTAAAATACATGAAGACAAAATTCTACTTTGCTTTGTACCTTTAGGTCATTGAAACTATTTATTTGGGGTCCAAACAAGTAATTTATGTGTTTATGATCGGGTGACTTCCAGAGTAACACATATCTGCTTGTATAGCTATCAATAATTGTTTATAAACATAGTTATAGGGTATTTAGTGAGAGGACAGAGATGAAGACTTTATACTAGAACCTGTTTAAGTTCTCCACAAAATCATATTAAGCTGTCAGAGAATGAAATACAGGTCAGAGGGGGTAAAATATACTTTACCCAGGTATATTTACCATTGCATGTAAGAAAACTGCAAAATGATGTAAGTTGAACACAGAATGCATTCCATTTTAGTGTTCAGTTTCTTTAAGATGTTGATTGATGTAGTGCGGCATAGATGATATTGTGAGAATTCTCATGATCCATTTTGCTTTATGCATTATTAATGACTAATAATATTTGTTATCTGACACTTTAAAGATTAGATAAGTAATATTCAAACAGATTATTTGAATTTAACTTTCTACAACTGATCCTAATATGGTTACATAGCTGACATGAACAAATATGCATATGTTTGGAATCAAAAGTTGGCATTGTTAGGCTGACATAGTACCTATAGTGAATCTGTAAGGCTCAGTTTTGACTGTGTGCACTTAAAATATACCAAGATGTTATTTTCATCATGAATATGCCTCTGTATGGTACACATTTCAATTTAGTACTTTGATAGAGGGCGGTATTGCAGCATCAGCTGATATTTGATTCCATTGAATCATTGAATCATTGAACTTAATAACTTGGTAGCCAAGACTCTTAAAAATAGACCAAAACTGTTCAAACAGATTATTTGAATCATGTTTGCACATGTAATGTTACCAAGTACATTGCATATGTCCCACACATGCAAATATCCATCCTTGTTTACAAGTTTTCGGGATGAAAATTTCACATTTAGTTGATGATATAGGATCTATTGGTACCTATAGTTGATCTGTGTGGCCACATTTTGCTATATTCACTCACAATATCTAAAATTGTTTTTCCTTCATGAATAGGATTGCATATAGTAATAAATTTTAATTTGGTACATTGTCATTTGACTTTCCACTATACTGGTATGTATCAATGTTTGCACCAATGATCAAACCTCACCGTTCCAACATTGCCTTAAACTTTATGATACATACTCTACCTGATTAGTTATTTAACCTGTAAATGGCTAAATATGCTTGTAAAACTTCATCTATTTTTAGGATGCATTTGTCCCTTTAATACATGCCCATTGCTTCACATCTTTGAGTGTTACTCTATCAAGTTTACCTTTTTTAACCCTATTTGCAACCTTAATGTTATTTTGAAATCACCATTTCTAACACATTTTAGCTTCATTTGCCTACATCTTTCTGTTTTTTTTAGAATTAAGTGAAACATGTTATATCTTTTCAGGTCTAGCCTGGTATCTGGAACAAAGTATTAAAGTTGTATCATTTTGGAAGCTCTCCAGTAGTCCAATGGT